GAAAAAGAAGGGCTGGGGGGGGTCTTCTCCACTCTCCTTCCCAGTGGGATTTCCCCCCCTCCCTTGTTTTAAAGTCACGTCAATTTGCCCGTGTGTGGAAAGGGGGTGTGCGTGTGTGTGAGAGAGAGAAAGAGAAGCGCGAAACGAGGGTGGAAAGGAGGCGAGGCAGTCCTGTTGGAGAAATCGGGAAGACCGGGGAGAAACTCCAGACCTCGGCAGCTCGCTCGGCTTCCTTTCTGTGCCTTCTCTTCGCACAAGCCGTTCCCCCTTACCTCAACTCTTGCCAAAAAGGGACAGAGAGGGGGGAGGGAAAAAGGAGGGGGGAAATTTAAAAAAAAAAGAGGAAGGGAGAAAGGAAGGAAGGAAGAACGAAAAAGGGGGGAAAAAACCGTCTTGGCTTGCAAGCGCCTACTTGCTGGTGCCTCCCTCACGGAGTGGCATGGTTGTTCGAGGGCTTGTCTTGTCTTTCATTCAAACCCCCTCCTTCCCTCAGCCGGTGGGTGGAACTACCCGGCCAGCCTCTCCCTCGAGAAGCAGACGCAGTCCAGAAGGCTGCAGTATTTCCTCCGAGGAGAAGGCGAACTCGGCTCGCTCCAAGTCCTGCCGCCGCCGCCGCCGCTTCGAGCTCGCCAAGCCCCCGCTTCCCTCTGCTGGCTATCGCTAAAAAGCAAAAGTGTGTGTGTGTGTGTAACGGGGGGGGGGTGAGTTTTGCAGCAACGTTGCTGCTGCTGAGGAGAACCAAGGCGGCGGAGGCTGAGGCATTGCGTTTCCCAGCCCCCCACGCGCCCCTACCTCTCGGTTAGCAGACTCTCTTCCCAAAGTTCCCCCACCATGAAAACCAGCCAGGGCGGCCGCCCAGTTTCTCTAGCAAGAGGCAAGGATTCACGGAAAGAAAGTCAAGCGAGGGGAGGAAAACCCTGCCTGGCTTTTAATAAAGCATACTTCCCGTGCTACCTCCACCAGCCTTGCAAAAGCTGACAGGGTTTAATGGAAAATTAGAGACCATTCTTCCCACAGCCCCCACTTCCAAAGAAATATATTTGATCCACAGCAGTAGGGCCTTGAAGTCACTCACATGAGATCATTTAAGGGAAGGGGCCCTGCTTGGTGATTTATTTTTATTTTTCTGAAAGGAGAAAATCACAATATTCAACCAAAATATCAAAAGCCCTAACAGTCTCCAAGAAACAATCCTTCAGGGAAGAAAAAAATGAAGAAGGGGCATATCAAAAGAGACACCACAACCCACTAAGAAGGACCCCTGAAGGAGACCCCACAAATGAAAGGCACTTACTTCCCTTTCAGCTGGTTTGCAAAATGGTTATTTAAAAATAAATATTCAGTGTTTTGGTGAACTTCTAGTTCACAGAGAAATCTCTTTATCCAGCCGTGTATGCAAATATGGCACATTCCAGCTGTGCAGGATCACAACTCCCATCATCCATTGACTGAAAAGACTGTGGGTGTCCAACACCTGTGGAAGGAGCCAAATAGAGGGAAACAGGCCTAGAAAGCTGGGGAGTGCTGTTTATTTAAACTGGATCACACTGTATTGGAGGCCTAAGAGCCATTGCATTCATTGGGACTCACTCCCAGTTGAAGAGGTTCTCGTTTTAGATGCAATCAGCATGACCAAGAGTCAAGGAGCTCCCTGAGTCCATGTTTCAGATCTCCTTTCATTCATCAGGTCTTTCAGATCTCCTTTCATTCATCAGGTCTTGTGCAGGAATTTTTTTTCCTCAATTGCCATTATCTTGAATTGAATTGTTGAACCACACAATTCACCCTACATCACGAGGACGCCAGGTCACACTAAGATAATAGCAGTGCCTGCATTTAGTGGTCTTACAGGCAGTGTTTTAAATGTACAGCTTGGGAGTTTTTGAACGTTAGCTGTGGGACTCCATGAGATTCAGTCCAAAAAAACAACAACTTTTTTTTCCAAGCTGAGCATTTCATAGAACATATGGTGAAATGTGAGCTTCCTTGACCAACCTAGTCTGCAACAGGGGTGATTTTCCTTGGAATTGGAGCCCCAGAGGCAACTGATCTAATCTTGTCAGTTTCAGGGCCAGAGAGGAATAAGCTTGAGAACTGAGGCCTTATTTACCTAATATGTATCTAAAGTAGAATAAGTGTACATAACATACTAAATAGCTAATAAAATATATGCATACATCAACTACAAAAATGGCAGCTACAAAAATGAGCAACAATAAACAAGCACAATAAGAAAATTAGCATAGGTACAATGGGCATGAATTAAGGAGTAGTTAGAACGCTGGACTGATATGTGGGAAATCCAGGTTCTTGTCCCCACTCAGCCATAAGAACACCCTGTTTGAATAAGTTTCTATTAATTTCAAGTCATTATGTGACCTATTTCACAGGATCATAATGAGGATAAAATACAGAGTATGGGACCTTCATATTCTGCCCTCAGTTCATTGAAGGGAAGACAGGATACACATGTAATCAATAAATAAAAATTAAAAACACCCTAAAATGACAGCTTTCCTATATTGCATTTCAGATCCACAAGAAAGCTATTATTGGTAAACAACCTATGTATAAACGGATTGCTGTTTCATTCCAGTAACAGATCCACTGTCAGCTTTGCTGACAGCAGACTGTATGTAAAAATAAAATAAAGGAGGACTGCCATGCTTGCTTTTGTTTTTATTTAAAGCACATGCAATACCCCAGTGGGACTGTTGTCAGCTGCCATATTATCAAGCAAATTGTTTCGGGGGGGGGGAATCACTTTTTTATTTTAAGGGGACACTTCTCAAGGCTGGGTAAGACTAAAATTAGACCTGCCAGCTGTGTTTTGGTTTGTGGGCCCATGCTGGTGCGTGACATGGGCAGGCAAGCATCACACTCTGCTTCACATTGTCTGTCTGCTCTTAAAATATTGACTTGAGCAAATACTTTTTATATTTCCATAGAGCAACTATTCCCAAAAGCAGTCACAGGTGCTAACTATACAATAGTTTCACCTTACTCCTAATACGTTGGCAGTCACAGATTCCCTCCAATTATTATTCATACTTTAAAAATTCCTCCCCCGCCATCCTCTAACTGAGCTTGAGCGTGGTCATGCAGATATTATACGTCAACAAAAAAGAAAGCCTTACTGGTTGTGGCACCCAGATTATAAGACACCTTGCCCATGGAGGTAAAAATGAGATCAAGAGTGTAATTGTTTGGGCATTAGATTAAAATGCCACTGTTTACTCAGGCATATTAATTGATTGTTTTTTTTCTATGCAAATGTGGTTCAGATTTTTTTATCATGATGTGAGTTTCATGCTTTTATTATACTGTGTATCGTCTTTATTTTGTTTGTAACTATGCTAGGATCCATTAGTGTGCAGAATGAGTTTTAAAAATTGATGGGGGCAGGGGAGATTTTTCCAGGTCATTCCAGTTCCCATCTACTCTACTCAGTACAGTGGGGTCTTGACTTAAGAACGGCTTGAGTTAAGAACATTTTGACTTAAGAACCACTCTCATAGGAAAATATTGAGTTGACTTACATAGTTAGATTTGAGTTAAGAACTGAAAAAAACCTACGTGGGAGGCAGGGAAAGTGCAAAATTTGAACTTTCAGTTAACTGTTGGCCAGTGAAAAGGGTGCCTGTCTGCTTCCTCACTCCTCCCAGCGTTTAGAGAGTGGATTGGGAGACAGTCTTCAGACTGCCTGGTACTGCCTGGACTGTATTTTCCCCGCCTTCCCTGAACCTTTCTTGACCTAAGAAAAAAAAGAAACAAAATATCCCCCTCTAGTGGTCGAAGGCAGAATAGCAGCTTCCCATTAGTTTCTATGGACAGAAAAGAGCAGATACGGATCAAATGGTTTTCAATGCATTCCTATGGGAAATGCAGATTAGACCTGAGAACTTTTTGACTTGAGAACCGCCTTCCAATACGGATTAAATTCTCAAGTCAAGACCCCACTGTATACTCAGTGGCGAAGGATGATGGAAGCTGCAGCACCACATGATTTGGAAAGCTCTGAATTGACCACCTCTACTATAATCTATAGGATGATGGGCTTCTTTAAAGCAGTGCATTTGAAACGTATTTATTCATTGAATTTGTACTCCACCCATTTAGTCAACTGACTACTCTGGGCAGCTAACAACATATAACATAAACCATTTAAAATATAGAACAAATAATATATCAATAGACGAAAACTCAAGGTGAGAGCATTATCAAGAGTGGCTACAGGGAAGGCTTGCCTGAATAGCCAGGTTTTCAGTTGGCCTTTGAAAATGCCCAGCGAAGGGGCAAGCATTCAGCTTGCAAGCATATAGATTCAATGTGGTGATGATGGGGACACATGTATAAGCCCTCCCCTATTTCCCCATCTTGAAAGACTATTGTGTGTTCAGCACAAAGATCTGCACAGCCATTATCAAGCTGATTGCACTTACAGTATTTCCATGATCAGCAATGTTCCAACATGGATGTTGATGCTGTACATAGGAAATTGCACTACTGTGTAACTTTTTGTTACACTGGCACAAACAGGATACTGGCCACTGTAAAATACATGATGATAACATTATGCCAGCTTAAAAACATACATATATCAAAATAATATGTTGCCAAATGTGTGGTACGTAAGAGTTAAATTTAAAAAGTGATGTACATCAAAACAGAAGCTTAACACAAGGAAAGATATTAGTGAAACCTATCATTCCTTAGAAGTGCCTGGGAGGAGAGTGGAAAATACTGTATCAATCACTGTGGCTATTTGCAAACCTTGTTACAGGAATGAGTCATGAGCTTGAGGAGTTCTTGAGCATTTCATTCATTGTGTTAATTTC